AAGTCGAAAATAACCGGGAAAGGTATCTGGCCCCAGCAAAAAGTTTCAGCAAGTTTTCCTCCTCTTCTGATGACAACAATAATACTTGAACGGTGCTGCTACAACTCCTTGTGCCAGGATGTTGCCGGAAAGAAATTTGTTCAGTTTTGACCACCCTAAGGACACTTATATCGGATAACTTATAGATCAATGACTTTATTGTACAATATCCCAATCGAATTTCCCAATCGAAAACGAATCGCCGCGAAAGCCGCCGCGAAAGCCCCACATAACACCACACCTTCCGCGAAAGCCAGAATGCAGGCCGCGAAAGCTCCGCGAAAGCTTTGCGAAAGCAAACCAGGATTATACAAAAAAGTAATAGGGGTTTTCGAAGCTGCTCAAATGAGATACAAATTGCACAGAATTCGTACCTAGTCAATTCTTAGGCTGAGTTGTGAGTTTGTATTTTCGATTGGTATCGATTGGTAAATTATACATATATATATATATCATTTGACAAACTGAAAGCTTTGGAGCTTGAACAATTCAAGATAATCAAGAACGCTTTCATACGGTTGAAGATTACATCTAGGAACCAAATCATTTGTGCAAGCGTGAGCTATCCTGCGTCCTAAGTAGTTGCTACTTGTTAGTTACCAGCTACCTAGCTATTAGCTACTTACCTCTACTAGCGGCCTACTCCCCCTTGAAAAACACACACACACACACTCTGTGCCTTTGTGATGTTTTTTGCTTCGCATTCTCTCGGCCTTTCTGTTGTATTCCCTCAGTCCACCTCCGCCTCCAGGCCGGAGACTCGGATCGCTGGGCTCACTGAAAGCTCGCTTTGTGAGTACAACGCCACTCGGACAGTGGAAACTGGATGAAACTGGATGAAATTGGGAAAAGAGTGGAAAAGGGTGGAAATGGCGATTCCTACGTCACTGTCACTGAATTGGTGAAACTAAGTAAAACTATGTGAAACTCGTTCCTACTCAGGAGATCTCAGGAGCAGATACTGTGACCCCTTTAATGTTCTTCAGCAAACGCAGTTCAATGGCTTAAACCAGCTGGAACAATCGACCCAACGATTTGCTGATGAAGATGAGTCTTGATGATTTTGATGGTCGTCCACCCTACGACCTGGTTCATGTTCATGTTATGCGAAGGGTGAGCTGATTCGAGATGCAAGTTCTCCCATGGATTTATCCGTGATAAGATCCATTTCAAGTTGTTCGCACAAAGTTTTTTTTTCTCGAGTTCGCGAAAGATGGCAAAAGTAACTTTTTTGTTTGTGAAAGATCTGCGAAAGATCCTACTATGCTCTATGTTAGAACTATATACCTCATACTTCCTTCACTCAGGAGGAGCCTTGATTCCTGACTTTCTATGCAGTCTTTACGCTCACACTTGCGATGCACAAACCCTCGGCTGTATAGTAGTCCTTTTGTCGTTTCGCTTTGGGCCTAGAAACCCACCAATGACGCGACATTCTTGGCGAAAGATTCGCGAAAGTTCCGCGAAAGCATAGGCGAATGTGAAGGCCTGTTTTGTGGACCCGTGCCCAAGCCAAGCACCGAAAGACCTAGCAAGACATCAGCATAACAACAGTTGATAGCGTGCTCGTCCAAAACAAACAGAACAAACAGATAAGTGCTCAGGCTGCCATGCAGAACCACTAAACCAATAAGATTTCTAGAGGGTATACCCCCCGCGAAAGTTAAACATGGAGTTCGCGAAAGTAATTTGTTTTGGCGAGGAATGGCCTTTCAGCAAGAGGGAATTTTGATCAACCACCATGTGTTCGAGGGATGTACTCATCCATGATGCGGCCGAAGGAAGGAAGGGTTTGCTCTTTCAAGAGACCGCTGTCGACTCTCCTTTGTTTCGTTGGCTCGGCATGCCAACAGTACCCATCGTTTCACTGGGGAGAGCAAACTTTCCCCATAGTTTTCAGTTTTCCCTAAGCCAGTAACAAGTGCATCGTTATTACTGTTACTACTAGTAGCTAGAAGCTAGCAGTAACAAAAAAGGGCATCGCTACTAGGAGCAAGGACGCTACTAGGGGCACCATAGGGTTGATAGGGTCCGTAGGGTCGATGTGATCGATCGAAAATGTGTGATTGCATGCACCCATTGGTCATGTGGTCAGGTGCTGGTTCAAACCACACTTCTTTGTGGTCACCACCGACTGGTGCCAAGACTGCCACGAGGCCACGCATACCGAAGAGTGCGGCCAAATCTATGGCCTAAATGTGTTTTGTTCGACTAAGGTTTGACCCACAATAATCTTCTCCCATTCGCTGGCTGCGGGAGTAACCTTCCTGACTTCATGTGGAGTGCAAAGCAAGATAAAGACAACAAGGGCAGTCAAATATAGCTGGCCTATCCTGCAGGTGTGAGATATGAGATAAGCATGAGAACGTAACAGGACCCAGCATGAGAATGAGGATGTTCGGACTTTCCAAGTTCTGCAATGCAATTTTGACGTTGGGACTGTGTGTCAAGGATCAGACCTTAGACACCGCACATACTACAACACTCCTCAGATGACCCCATCAATGCTGGTTGTCTCCCTGTTTCGAGCGTCAGGCAAAGAGATGATCCACTGCGTAGCTCAGGAGGAGAAAGTTGCCACCTGATGCAAATGTAGAGCCTGCTTGATCCACTCACCTGCGATGTAACTTCGTATATAGAAGGGTCAGGTTTTGATGTGAATGCATAAATTATGATTGAACATGTAGTTTTTCATCCTCAGGCGGCAACATTTAGGACGACAGGAGAGGTGCAGGTACTCTCCAAGTGTTTCAGATGCCTTTTTTTTTTCTGAAATGCTGGCTCCACTATTCGCGGTCCCTCCAAAAGCCAAACAACTAGATCACCTGCCAATGATTCAAACATATTCAAACAATACGGCAAAAGACCTCAGCTAGTCGATTGCTCCGCCAACTCAGGAAGACAGTGAGCTTTGAGAGCTGCGGGTCATGCAGGCAAGCCGCACGTCCAGGTGCACAGAAGATTCATGACTAGAAGCCTGTCAAAACCTTGTGACTCCGGGTCTTGGGACTTTGACGGTCTTTTTTCTTGTTAATATGGATAACAAACAAGGACTTGGGCCTCCAAAGCTATTGAATGGTTCACCATGGTAAACCCTCAAAGAGGAACAGGGAAAGACTTGGGACTGGTGAACTCCCTGCTTTGATGAAGTGCAGAAGGGGAGCCCGGATTTGATCAAATGAACTGACAAAGACACAAATCCACACCACTCTCGTGGATGAAAGTAAGCAGTTCTTTCTTACCGGGATTCAACGCCGGCCACTCACCAACATCATGCAACATTGAGGATGTGTACCCCAACCCGGGTCAACATGGCATAGTGGCTTCCTGAGCCCAAAGATCTCTCGTTCTGCGACGAGAAAAAGGAGTCCGAGAGTAGACGCAGTGGCGTTCGTGAGCATCATTCAAGACATGGCGATCACATAACAAATCTTTGTACCTAACATAAGTACATGATGGCTACATGACTATACACACTCCAATCCTGCTGATGGGTCTTTGTGAGTGTTCATGGGGCTTGCTCATCACCTCCATGTGCGGGTGTGATGCCCATGTCTTTCAGCTAGACTCCCAGAACAACCACATGAGCAGCGTTCAAAACCTGAATGCAAGAACCACATGATCCAATTAAACTGCAAGACTGTCGCGTATGATAAAGTCTGCACGGCGTAAGGGTTGCGGAAGGTTTAGTGGAAGCCAAGCTTAGGACACTCGATGCGTAAGAGGTGCGTAAGCAATTTTGAGTCTTCTAGTTATACACAGCCAATATACTTTGTATATTTTTTTTCTGAGAAACACTGCAAGCAGAAAAGGGTTGTGGACTCAATCTCTCAAAGGCCCTGTTTGCAGGGGTCGAGTAGCCCACGACCACACGAATTCCGCGTAAGCCCCTCGTAAGCCGATTCGTAAGGTTTGCGTAGGCGAACTTCTCACATGAAGCCCTTTGCTCACGTCCACCAAAGGTTTTTTCTGAAGAAACCAAAGCAAGCAGCTGAGCACTTTTCAAGCACAAAGCGCACTGTGACCCTCGCTCCAACTGCTTGGTCCCCATGGCTGACAAAAAGGCGGGCTCCACCAAATCATGCAAGCAAAATGTAAATTACTTTACTTCGAGAGATCCCCTTCCTCAGAAGCCGGGAGTGCCCACTGCGATCTGGAGCTTGCGGTTGAGGTCCGGGAGTGCCCACCGCTATTTGGCGCATGCTGTTGGGGTCCGGCATTCCCCACTGTGATCTGGCGCTTGCTCTAGTGAAGCGGGGAATAGGAGAAGGAGAGGGATCATCTTCTAAAATCTACTGTGACCACCCTCACCTGACAGGTTGGGAACAAAGAGTGTTCACTGCTCTGGTGCCAAAACGCCGGTAACAAAGCCGCCGCGTAAGAAACGCGTAAGCCCTAAGAGAAACAACATCACCACGTAAGCGAACACATTGGTAGCGTAAGCACTGCGGAAGCCGACGCGTACGCAGAGAAGGATTATAAGGCCAAGACTAAAGGGTTTCGACCACCGCTCACATGGCCCTGGCAAAGTATGGGAACTGCCACCAGGCCATGGCAAGTAGTCCATTGCAAACCAGGCCATGGAAGCCACAGATTCTTGGCACCTGCCTGCAACCTCGCCATGTTGAAATACATCCATTTCCTGGAAACTTCATGTCCTTTCAACCTTTCCAATCCTAAAGTCTGGCCATACATATTACCATGCCCACTGCATTAGTATACAGCTTGGAGCAATGGTTGGAACATGCTTGAATTTCATGCTTCGTTCAAAGTGCTGAAAGCCAAATTTGTTTGCTCCGAAAATAGGGACCTAGTAAACCCTGGCTTCAGCAAGAGGGTCACCGGTGCTTGTTGCCCATGAATTGTTTCTATCCGCATTGAGCATTAATTTCCACCAACAGCAGGATTTTTTGAAGGGATCCATGCTGGTTTGTTCTCCGTTCTTCCCGGAGAATTCCAAGGGAAAGACCTCCTTCGAAGCGGATCCCAGTGCATTTAGGCCCAAAATTGGGCTACGGGTGGATGTGGGGAGGCGGCAGACCAACAGAAATTATCCACGACTTGGAAAGATTGGCTGATTTTCTGGAAAGTTGTTAAACTTCAGAAGAGAGCAAACCATCAAGATTGCTTGAGTGTTTGTGCGTCACTTAGTCACTCAAGAGACATCCAAGACTGTAACACAAGGGGGTTTCATTTCCAGAGCCTTTGAGGAAAAGACAGGCCAACCAGGCCAAAATGTGTCCTTGCTCCTGCTTGCTTGCCACAGTTCGGAGCGCCTGTCGAAATTGGACCTCGATGAGTTGCTGGGGACTTAGGAAGGTGATTCAGAAGCTTTATTGCGCCGAGTACATTTGTATTTGCAGGAAAGCCTGTTGCAATTTGATGCAATTTGCCTCCTACACTGACAGAACAAATGCTTTTTGAGAGAGCATTCACAAGTGTCATGCCCTTGCTGTCAGACACGGGCTGAAATGTTTCCTACTCTCGCAGTGCAGGTTGCTTCCCCTCTTTGCTGTGAGACAAGTCAATCTGACAAGTGAAATGAATGTCAATGTCGGTGGAACATCTTCGACTCAGGTCTTTGGCTGAGGACCTTCTGAACAAAGCCAGTAGTATGGCGTCGGAATCCAAGGTAGGTTGGTGTCAGCTTCTATTGAGAGGACCACCTTACCCAAGTTTGGGGTGGTTTGGGGGCATTGACACAGAAACTGCAGGGTGTTCTTCAATCCCTTCGTTCCCATAATGCAAATATGACACATGTCCAACGAAGATATTCAATCTGGTCCCTACATACATCACATGTTAGGGATCATTTGGGCAATTGCACAAATGCTTTTTCAGTGGCATGCTTTCACTCAAGGAGGTTTGCTGAAGCGGCATGAAGCGTGTGCCTTTTGAGGCCTGTAACAGTTCTGCCCTTCTCGAATCCATACTTGGTGCAAGCCAACAGGCACCAGAAACTTTGCCTGCAGATGCTCACAACAACTCATAGCGCCTCTTAGCTGCCTCTTTGTTTAGTTTAGTGTTCGTGCAGATCTTTAATCACGAAAGGTAGCTTGAGCTACCTGAGTTCTCCTTGCTTTAGCAAACATGTATTACAATCAGGAGTTGGGATTGTGCATTGAGTTTGGTCCTGTAAGAGATGATTCTGTTCGTCGGGGCGGGCCCCCCCGGATCAAACCCCCCCTGCGCCGGTTCACGCCGTCATGGACTTCTACCAGGGTTACTTGTGATTGCCTGCTACCTTTCGTTCACCCCCTCCTCTCTCAAGTATAAACAAGTTGTAGAAATGGACTATTGACTCCGACGTGTTTGCGTATACAAATGATCAAATGTTTCTGTAACCATTCATTCAGAGATGTTCAATCACGCCAATTGCCTGCTTGAGTCGAGAAGCTCGCACGCAGCGGTTACTTTGCGGCATGCACCCATTTTTAGGAAAACTGCACTCTTTGAGCAAAACACTGCTTCAAAACCGCTTTCCGGCCCTCTTGTTAATGAACTCGAATCATTGCCTAGGAAAGTCGTGATTCCAACATATCCCAACAGCCAGCTGACACCCTTTGCAGACCAGTGGATCTCTTGAAGTTAAGCAAGGACGAGCTCGGGCAGGCGCCGACTGCATCCCTGAGCGGCGGGACTCTGGGGCCCTGTTTTACTCTGTCCTGTTTCCTTCAAACGCATTGGGGTCCAAGGAGAAACTAGACTAGACATTCCCAGAGAATCCCACAGATTTAGATATATATCCCTTTAGAGGTTGAAATGGGATTGAACTAAGGCCCAATCAGTGCGATTTCATTCCCTGGGTCTGTGCTGGGCTCGTACTTCTTCATGCCCAATCATTTATATGGTGTGCAGCATGCAGTTGACTTTGTTGACTCCACACCCAATGCTTCAGGCTTTTGGTCACCATTGTTCAAACAATTTGGTCATGGGAACTGGCCAAGCGCATTTGCTATGCCAGTCTCACAACTTTCGAGAACGTTGCCCAAGTTCTTTAAGGTTGCTGATAAGCAGACATTGGGAATTACCAGCTGGATGCGGAACCAGGCAATCGTTTGCATCACCAAAGCATTGGCAATTTGCACATACCTCAGTGTTGCAGTGAGAGGACCTCAATCTGCCAACATCTGCCAAATGCCACAAGAAGATGTTGTTCACCACTGATATTTTGTATTTATAGTTTTCATGTGTTTGCCGATTGACTTGTGACTTGGATCTCTCTCCAGATGACACTTTGTGTATCTTGCTGTTTATCCAGCGGTAAGTTTCAAGGATCCTTCTGTTCCCGAGGTCCAGGGTGTAAATTATGGTCGCGCCCACTGCTGAGCATGGTCATCATGATTGTGCCTGCAGCAATTGCAGGTTTCTCTGAAACCTTCGAAGCATGTGTGTTTGCGGGCATCAAGACTTTGAATGATGGCAAATGTGCAGAGAGTGGCTCGTGTCGAAGTTCATTGTTGATGTGATTGCTGTATCCAGTGGAGTTTGTTTGCTTAGAGTCCTTCAAGGCAAGCTGCCAAGGTCTCGCAGACATTTACGCACGCCTTTGGGTTGTGGAGGACACTGAACTGTCTTGAATTGTGAGACCATGCGAGACCGGATTCTGCAGCACAGGGCGATGCAAGAAAGCTAGCACCACCTACATAATCTACCTGAACCAGCGAGATTCACTGATCGGGCTGGCTGTATATTACGCCACGCTATATTGTGGCCATTGCGCCAGCAGATTTTGTTGGCTGATATATATATATATACATATACACACTTAGGTTTAGAGTTTAGATAGAAGGTGAACATGAACTCCTTTTTCCATGGCATGATCAGAGTCCTTTGTTGATTGGTTTGTTGGAAGTCACCCAGCCCACATGCGACTTGCAGGATGATTCCACTTGCTTAAAGGAAAGCTGGACACAGAAGCTTGAGGCCGGCGAGATAGCACTGCTCAGGTTGCCAGGGAGGGCCATGATATGCCATGATGCTAGATATCCAAGAAGTCCTCAACTAGAAGCGAGAAAACAGCACAAGGTACGACAACCACAGTATCATGGCTATGCTTGCAGCTGGCCCCCTTCGCTGAGGGTTAGGGCCTACTGACCGTCAGTCACATGTTGGTGGATACTGCATGCTAATTTTGCGTTTCCTCCATGCTGATTATATAAAGTGATTTCAGCAGTGTTCCAGGAAACCATGCTCAACCAACTGGTATCCTGTTCGATGGAAAGAGGCTATTGCAGCTCCAAAGACTTGAAAGTACAATGCTTGAACAACCGGATACAAAAGGAAGTAATTGTATAAGGGTCCCTTGAATAGGCCCAATGTACAGAATCCTTACTGTAAAGGGGCCCTAACCTTCGTTTTTGACTCTCTCTCTCTCTCTCTTTTTTAAAGACTTTTGGGAGAGAAAAACCTCCTACACATGGGTAATTCAATCGCAGGCCCTGCTGAATCCTCCTGCCAGAATCTTGTCATGACACCTTCTCAAATTCACGAGGCAGATTATACCATATATATATATACATATATATATACACAAATTGTGAGTTCTTTTGCAATGCCATGCGGCCCGCATGTTTCTCATTGTTTATGCCCCCCATGCTCAAAACCATCAGTACCAGTGCACAGTGTGCTGATCGAATTCAAGGCAGATCGCAGTTGGCCTCCACGGCTGATCTTCCTGTGTCGCAGATGGCCCAGGATATGCTCAGCGGCTTTGAAGGTAAACTACTCGCACACAGGGAATCTATATAGTTGGAGTTCCAGGTAAACTACTGGTAGAAAGGGAATCTAGTTGGAGTTCCTGTATTTCTTTTTTTTTCTGTTGTTGATATTTAAATCAGGCAGCTTGTATGTTGAAATCACTCGCCCATGAGACAGGGACATGAACTGGGCAGCTATATAAATATTAATTCTTTTCAATTTTGAGGTCAGACGAAAGTCCTGAACCTCATGATTCAGCACAGTCCTTAGGGGGAAGTGACAGACGTCGGATACCGACAGGAGAAAGAATCTAAGAATCTAAGCTGCTGGTCATGTGATCCAAAAGGTCCAGTAGTCGTCATTATTGGCCTGATGGTCCCGATTGACTTGAGATCAGTCCACTTCTGTCCAGAGCACGGATGTCAAATTCATTATGCGACAGTGAATCAGATCTTGCGATCAGTTGCCGAGGTCGTCCATTCGCCAATCCATTCGGCGGGCATGAAGCTGAGAGCCGAGAGCCCCCATAGCTTGAAGCTGTCAAACGCGCTGAGATGTGAACTGGCCTAGATGCATAGAGGCAAAAGATAATTTAGAGCCGAAAGTTTCTTAAATTGACACCCAAATCATAACTTCTTGAAGTGAATTGGGAGTGGACAGGAAACTCTAACACTGGATACTGGATCCCTACCCCTTTAACCATCGAAAATGGAGGGGGACCTCCAGAAATGTAACTTACATTTGTTGGAGGGGAGGGGAGGGGTGGATTAATGTTCAGATTTAAGCCTGTAGGTACAGAAGATAGTATATGGATGTGGACATATGTAACCCCCCCGAGACATTCTTAGGTTATTCCTGGGGAATACAGAGTCCATTGCATATTGATCCGTTTCCGATTTTGTGTTGGGGGGGCAGAAAAATGTAACTTACATTCCCCCCCCTGTTTGTTAGGTTGTTAGGTAACCAGAAACACGGCATGTATATTTTTTCAAGAGCTGTGAATTGTGGCAGACAACTTTCAGGGCCCAAGGAAAGGATAGAATAGGATCGGGCAGCGTTGGAGAATGAAGACGTTGTTGTTTTGGGTGCTGCTGGTGTTGTGATGTTGATTTCAGTCGACTTCATATATGGACCATATGGATATTCTATGAAGCACTTTTGGGGGGGACCTCAAAATTGTAAGCTTACAGTTTTGAAACATGTAAGCTAGGGGGGTCAGGACGGTCAGGAAAATGTAATATTACATTTTCAAGGTGGTGCATGGAGATGCTTCTCGGACACTGCGATGAAGGCCGATTGTGGCACGTCCAAACATGGGTTAAAAACGGACCCCAGTCAAATCGAACATAAATGCCTCGAACATGTCAGAAAGATAGTCAAAACTTGCTTTGCTCATTCGCAAAAGTTCTTGTTGACGTGAAACTACTGCAACCAATATGACAACTGCAGGAATGGGTTGAAACTCTGTCGACACCATACTGGTAATGGATTTAGACCATTCTTGCTGTTGAAGGAAGGTGCGCAGCTTAAAGGGCTCTCACTCCACCAGCCAGCCACATGACAATTGGGGGGAGGGGGCATGCCAGCAGAGCTATCAAGTAGTGACAGTGAAAGTAGTAAGAGGGGCACATGAAGTAGGCAGCTACTAGTAGCAAGGACGCTACTAGGGGATCCTGGCATCGCTACTAGTAGCTAGTAATGCAGAGCTTGGGCTTCCTTGGAGAACCCTTCGCATGATTGTAGCTTCTTGTTCCTAGTAGTAAGGCCAGGAGCCCCTAGTAGCTTCTTGATATGGGTGGAAACTTAACGCCATTTTGATGAATCATCGAAGTTTGCTCGAGCGATCCTGTCACTGAGCTGAGGCTGCACCGGTAGCTGACCAGCAGCACTTGGCCAGAGCCTGGTTTGAAAGGTGGGCGTGAGAATTCAGAATAGGGGACAAATTTGTGGACCTGTGTGGCAAGATACTCTGATTCTCCAAGCCCAATATCAGGTACAACCTCTTTGTTCGTGAGAGGGTACACTGGCCTGAAACGTGTGGGGAATTCTATTGATTCAGGTCGTGAAATGGCAGACGACAGACTTCTCACCAGTTACCTTCAGCGGGAGCATTTTGTGTGTTTGGGAAAGGTTTGGCATATGAATTTCAAGATGAACTGGTAAGTAATTCTGTTTCTTCCTGTTGGGAAGGTCTATGGTTCCTTGGCCCAGCATTCTTTCATGCATCGCTTCAGGCCGACACGCACCCTCAACCTATCCTGTATATTTAGCCCCAACTCTTCATAGGCCGAAATCTTCATAGTTTTCCACTTTTTGCAGAATCCTCAAAGGCGGCTTTCCTGGGTCACTGTGTGCTACTGTAGATGGTCCATTGAGCAACACCCAGGCTAGTAGCTGCTAGTTTCAAAAGGTTTTTGGGGCTGAAGGCAAAGGCTTTTCATGGCTCAGAACACCCGCAACAATGTCCAACTGCTCGGCATGAGTGGTTGAAGGATTGAAGATGTTTGAAGTGTATCAAAGGCCTCAACAACCACTGCAAGCATTGCAGGAAATTGGAGTTGCTAGTGCTGATGATGCTACGGCGGCGATATTTTGTGGCTTGCTTTAAGCTTCATTCACCTGTTTGAAGATGGCTGAAACTCAACTTTGAATTGCTGAAATATAGTTTAAACATGTGCACGGTCCAGTGATTTGGCTCCAAAGGGGAGAGGGCGGTGATGCATCTCTTCAACAATGATGTACATGAAATGCGTTAATGGGGCTTTAGTAGACACTGTCAGTCTTGATTGAAGGGAGCCAACAGTTCATCACAATCTGCAGAAATAGTAAAACATACATGATTGAGTGAAGTGCCACAGTTCCAGATTGAGCCCAGCAGAGAATAAATGGTAAGAGTAATTCATTGGGTCCACTTGTCGGGCTTTGGTGATTCGTTAGGCTTTTGGGGATGCTTTGTGATCAGAAAGATAGACAGCACAGTCTTCTTGGACTCTTGGACCCCCTCCTCCTTATGATCTATATAGAAGCCATCAGAACTCGTGCGCCGTGAAGGCCAAGCTTGATGGCAAATTGCATTTGCTCGGGTGCCAAGAAAGCCGAAGAAAGGAGTGGTTGGGTGACCCCAGAGAATGCGAGCTTTATTTCATGAGTGACACAACGTATTGGGAAAGGTAGAATATCGGACAGTGGTTGTGGGTGATTGAGGGCAAGCGTGGCCGATGGCTATTATATGGGAAACTTGGCAAGGGCAAGCAATCAGAACAAGTGCAGAATGTGGCGAAACGAATCGAGACGACCCACATTGCATGATCTATGTGGCAGCACTCCATTCTGTGTCCTCTTTGTTAAAGAATTTTGCCGTCCAACAAACTGGGGCCCTGAATAGAAATATTATTGCCGCTTTGCTGATTGGCTTGCCTCCAGGGTTTGTGTCACAGGCGCCGCTGTCAGCACCTGGCGCTGAGTCTCATTTGGTTCTTGGTGCACTGCACGGACTGCTTGTGCGAGTACCAGACATGCATGGAATGACAGTTGTTTGCATTTACGCCATGTGCTCAGAAGTGCAAGACCGCACTAATGCTTCTTCAGACACACCTCAGCACGAGCATGGATGATTTGAAGTCGAGGTGATTTCAGCGATGCAAAGTTTCAGCGATGCATTATAAGTTTTGACAAGTTACAAGCACCATGTCCTGATGTACGCAGAACTCTCGAGAAGAGCTCAGCACTTTTAACACTTGTTAACCACATCAATGCAGGTGGCTAGTAGATGTCGAAGACATGTTCGTGGATTTTAGCCAGGGCTGCTCATTCATTGACTGACAATTTGGTTGGCCAATTTAACTAAACTGTTAATGTGCGCAAGACTCCCCAGTGACACGGGAAGTGAATGCAACAATCTTCAGGACTATGGAGATGTGATCCCGGCTTGCAGGGAGGCTCTTCAAAAGGCCAGCGTACGTACCTCAGATCCCTTGAGACAACAAATTTAGGGCAGACATGGGGCACACTCAGGCAGAGGCTAGCAAATCATGTACTGCCCGCCAGCAACCTCCAGCATTGATATTCTTGTGTTTTTCTCGTTCAACTGCTTTTGACAGCAAATCTTCCCGGAATTCTGCTTTCCTGAAACAACCTGAAACCAACAAGCCGCCAAGCTGGCATTTTGTATTTTAGATTCTGCGTGGGCTTGAGACGCGGAGGCTGTGCTGAAGCTTCCGGAGGAGTGGCAGAAGCCCTGACTGAGACAGAGCGAGACGGAGGATGGACAGACAATGACACAGCGAGGGACACAAATACTGCATATGTTTGTTCAATTTCAACATTGCTATTGTCAGAGGCTGGAATCAAAATGAAACCGATTGTTGGTTGTCGACCCATCAGTCTTCAGACCTTTGAGCTACTGAGGCAAGGCTTTGCAGGCCGTGCTGAGCCTTTGCTTTGTTTCAGGAGCGGAGACAATTTGTTTCATGTTCTTCTTGTAAACTGTTCTCACATCATTATCCATCCAAGCAGGCAGCTCAACATGTTAGGTATGGATCAAGGAGCCGGGCCCACAAGCGATCCATAATCCCGATCCATACCTCCTGGCAATTTACTTGTTGACGGGTAGGTCATATATATATATATATGTAATATGTGTAATATATAGTATAGTTATATATATAATTATGTATATATCTTGGGACGGTCCTATTACCTGTAAGAGTCAGTAAACAATTATAACTATATAGTATTTTAGAGAAAGGCCTTTCATAGCGTGCGCCAAATGTTGCAAAGCAGCAGCATCAGAGCCACAAGGTTCACGGCATGGGGAGTGCTCAGAAGAATCCTTCGAGGAATAATACCAGCCCCAGATAGTGAGACTTGGTGTTTTGTCTTTTTATGTTAGCCAACGGAGGATGTTGTTCCCAGTCTTGTTTGGGCTACCTGCTTATGACCAGGACAGCGGATGAAGGCAACAAGTTGCATGCATATATTTTGTGAGTGAGTGGTGTCACAAAACACAGAAGAGGCTTTAACAGGTCACTGCTCAAGCAAAGCCAGCTTCTTCTGCAAAGGCTCCAGACCAGGACCAGTAGGGCAGACTTCAGTCAACTGTCAACTCTTGTCGTTTCAGGGCCTGCGAAAAGGTACGGAATCGTCTTCAATTTAGATACCCACACACCCGCCAGGAAGTGGAAGTAAAGACTCCACCCAAACTGGCTGAAGTCTAGCCGCTCAAGCGGACTCCAGCAGAAAAGCCTGTGTGAAGCACCCTGCATGACACTGGGGATGTCATGCGGATGCTGTGGGACAAGGCCCATGTGTGCAAGGTTTGCAAGGAGACAAAGCATGTGGAGTGCCAGCTCAAGTCGCCGTCCTGTCATGGAACTACCTGCGGCTTCTGCAGAGGCAGTGCCTGGGATCATTTGCTACATCCTGTTTTTCTTGGGGTTTGTCTTGGGACCCCGCAAAAGACCAAGGTTTTTTTGGAAGGCGCTGCGCTGCCCCCTGGACTTGTCTCTCACGGGAAGAAGCACGTGAAGCTCAAGCGGGCAGATGGTACGCAGAAGCGCTTCTACTTTGCTCTCCACGCATTTGTAGCGCTTGAGGATTGCGTTCGCTGACTCTGTTTGCCTTCCACATGCTCGCGCTTTTACGTTTGGGCCGATTGTGGTCCCAATCGCCGCGCCTATACCTTCATTGCAACAGGTGTCGACATCCTGCGCGATTCGACAGCTCAAAGGTTCAACGGTCAAACAAATTTATGTTACGGCAAGGAATGATGGCCAATTTGGCCTCCAGTCTTCCTGGATGGATTCCTTCACCAATCAGAATGTCATTTCTACTTGCAAAGGATTGTTGTCAGCCTGGTGTGAAGAGGCACAGCACACCACGATGATGAGCGAGTCTTTTTCCAAAGGTCCATGCTATGAGGTTGCCCACTTCCACCCACTGAAGACTCGAACGCACTTGTACTTGGATGTTTCAGCCAAGGACCTGAAGATAGAATATACCTATTGCCTGTGTTTCTTCAAAGCGGAGAGCTCAAGATTCCCAGCCAACTGTGTACAGTGACAAAGCCGGCGTGCCAGGTGGAGGGAGGAACCTTGGTGTTGCAATAGTCATTGATAAAGTGCACACTGAAGATGATTGGCGGGATTGACACCGAAAGGATCAAAGGATGAGCCAGAAAACGACGCTTTACCTGAGACCCTGTTGCAACGACATCTGCAAGCCCATTGCCGCGCAAAAACTTGGCTGGCAAACAGGAGACAACCAGACCATGAAACGCTAGTCTCGGAGGAAAGGCGGCCACTCAAGCGGTCTCGTCAAGAAGCTCCTTCAGCTCGTCAAACAATAGTAGCAGTGACGTTTCAGAGGCTTCGATTGAAAAGAGTCTCCAGCCATACGCTGGGTGGACGTTTACGTGCTTCTGCTTCTTCACAATGTGCACCTTTGCCACCTCTTGCATGTGACCCTAGAAGAATGTTTGCTAAGAACCTGTGGCCAAGTGGCTTGGAACCTGCTGTCATGTCAGCATAGCCCTATGTGTCCACATGTGTTTTTGATCACAGGCCTTTCGAACTAGGCGTTCCATATGTACGAATCACTGCGGAACGGTGCGAACCACCTTTCTGAGCCACTCCCATGTAGGAAGGCTATGGAAGGCAAGAAATGATCCTTCAAGTGTGCCCAAAGTTGTGTTTGCTTTGCTTCAAGAATGTCACAGGCTTGAGATCAACATGGCTGTCCGAAGATGAGGGCTTGAACCGGACTTCAACAGCAAAGATCCAAATCCAGCTATATATATATACACATAATTTCGTAGTCCAGCCCAAAGAGTTCGTGCGATTCCGGCGTGTTTCTTAATTTGTTCTTGTATCACCGCTTTGCAACATCGTAGGAGTGGAGCACTTGGATCGCCTCCTGCTTATCTTTGGTACGCCCAGCCATGATTCATCGGAGCGTCCAGCAAGGTAAGGTTCGTTGGCAACACCTGGGCACCAATCTGGCCTTTCTGAGTAGAACTTGTAGAAGTGAGGTAGATGTGTAGAATATGACTCAGAATATGTATTATGTGCAATAGCCTCAGGCCTTGGGAAGGTACGGCATGGAATTACTGATGTTGTACTTGTGTGTTTACCGTCACTGGTACATCTAAAGCAAACAATAGAGGCAGCCTTTGGAAAGGTTGGTGGATACCATTTGTTGGCTGGTGCCATCCTGGACCTTTGATCACTTGAAGCCATTGGCTGCCAGGTATCGATTAGAATCTGATTGCAAAATCATTGGAGTCGCCATCATTGTTGGCTGCGGTGGGAAGATGATTAGCCTGGACTCCGCCCTGCAAAAGAAGCTACAACCATGCCTGACTATCCTGGCTGGCATCATTGTTTGCTCCGTAAAGATGGGATCAGCCGCATCAGAGTCCAGGTACGTTCCCTATGTCATGGGGCGAATCGAGTGGAAGCTTCGAAAGCAACTGGGTGACGCTTGGCTCATATTTTTGCTATTTGATGGACTCCCTGAAATCCAGCGGCCAGCGGACATGGACAAATATACAGCGGTCCTGGAAGATTTGGGCCAGGCTGGAGAAATTTGTTTCATTTTGCTGAGACAGCACCTGCCTGCCAGAAACCAGAGAGAAGTTGCTGCATCTCAACAAAGGTTCCCAGACAGAGAACAATGCCTCAGCGCTTTCAGTTTTTGTTGTGTACCTTTTTGGGTTGATATACCATGACTTGGTAAGAAATGATTCCCAAATCAACGATTTGTTTAGCCCCTGCTGCTGAGCCAGAGGTTCCTCATACCCTGGCAAAACTTATTCCACAAATGACAACTCATTTGCAGAAAGCTCCTTCCTGCCCTTTTGCAATGCAACAGTGACAGAAAATCATGTTCAAAGGGTTTCAGTGCGTTCAAAGGAGCAACCCACTTGCTGCGAGATCAATTGCTTTTGGTTGCAGGGAGGTGAGATGATCAGGTGAAGGTAAGCTCTTGTTGACTACCCTGCGCCAGCCGAGGCACATGCTTCAGCAGAGGCCGCTCTAGGCCGTTGGGCAATGGTGCAAGGGTTGATCCAAAATTTTAAAACATGTGCTTGAAAGGACTGGTTTTAACACTGCATGGAGGGCGGTGTGAAACAATATATGTATATATACTGTAACGTGTTTACTGTAAATGTGTTTGCTGACTTCCCTGGGAATGGTTTTCAGTTTCCTGGTTGCCTGTTCTCACCTGTGCCTTGCTAAGAGGCTACCTGAGTGATGCCTGCAATATGGAGAACGAAGCAGGGTCCTGAGTGCCAGGCTGCCTTGGGTATGCAGCACAAACATCCCCCAAAGCAAAGACTCTGAGTCCAAGACTCAGGTCCCATGTTACCTTTCTTGTACTGATTCCGGAACCAAGAATGAGAATACAGCAATCGACTGCGAAAGGGCTCCAGTCCCGAGATGATCTATTGCAGACCGCTTTGTAGTCAGAACCAAAGAACATGACAAAAACACAGCTTATATAGGCGTTGGCGTTTTGCTATTTCAAACAAGTTTGGGGAACGATGCCAAGTACCAACAGCTCATCATGCCCACCCTCAGATGTACACAGACTCTTCTTCACTCATTTTGGCTGATGTGCTCTTGGGACTGCACCTCGATGGCGTTCAGCTTTAGCTGAGGTCCACACTCTCATGGAGTCTATGTCCCAGAGAGGCTTATTGGCCAGGACACAGCTTGGACTCCGTTAAGGGCAAAAACGAAGACATGATGTGAGGGGCGAACAAAGATGCCTTAACATGATGAACAAGAGTATGCCTCTGCAAACATGCACCAAGCATCATGAAGCTGAACTTTTCTGTGAGGTTGTGTAGCTGCTTGAGATCCCTTATGTAGGAAGGTTTGACAAGTTCTATGTACTGTGGACAAACAATCCATCGTGTCCAAGTCCACTGGATTAAGCATGCTCGAGGGTCTTTGGGCACCTCGCTGGGGATGCCCAAAAGAACGGGTACCGTGCGGAGAGAGAGAGAGAGAGAGAGTTTACTCGTTCCAGATCATCAAGAAGCATGTGTTCGTCGAATGCAAAGTTAAGCCATCCCGTCCAGGACCTACCAGAAGTCGGAGCTGGCTGTTGCACGAGAGCGGTCTAAGGAGCCTCACTTCAGGCGTTTCGTGTTTATTTGTGCACAGTAAAAATGTTGAGACAATTCATTTTGTATAGATTGGACGTCTACAAATATACCCAAGCCCGTCCACAAGATTGCTGAACCCAATGTTGAAAATAAAGACGAAGGATCAACAGCGATCCATTGACACCAGGATGTAATTTCACCTGGCGTAGTTACACTAGCTGCATCCAACATGCCAGTGGAAACGCGGAACCCAATGGTTCCCAGCTGGTGCGTCGTCTTGATGGGACAGGTGCGAAGTGCTCCGTGTCAAGCTGTGCATGGAAGCCGAAGGTGGGGCTGGACAATGTTTCGATTGTTCTCGTCCAGGCGAGCTTTATGCTGTTTTGATGTGAGCGACGCCGGATCATTGCAAGGTTGTTTGACTAATTGCAAGCTGAAAGTAAATCACATTTCACCTGAGCAATGCTTGACAGTGTTTCATGTTGATCATGGCCAGTGCATGCCAGTGCTCAGTGCAACGGAAGCTTTGCAGATGCTAAGTCATGAAACGGGCCGAAAAAACAGACTGTTGAAACAAGTGTTGAACCATGTTGAAACACTTTCGATGGGTTGTGACAGCATTGCTCGGACAGTAGCCATAGATACACGCAGCCAGGCGCCTTGACCGTTCACACTGCTCAACAGCTCCACTTACATAGTTGTTTTCATAATGTGTGATACTTTTTGCATCCTTGCTTTTGCAAAATAACCATTGCCCCATCATACGCAAACCTAGGCTTGTTTTCATTGCCGCAACAAGACTGTGCAAACATGGGCGTTTCAGTGCTTCGTTGGACCTGACAGCTCTGGCCAGGCTGGCGCTTAGCAGCCACACGACCTCGCATTGGGGGGTGTGAGCCGGTTGCTCAGGGCTGGGCCATGACACTGCAGACAAATTAGAGTCTTGCTCCGTTTTGTTTTCAAGCCGTCCAGCGTGTGCTCCAATTTCAGATGTTTTTGCAATTTTTTGCATAGTAGCTAGATTTAATGGATTTGGTGCAGATTCTCGATAGAATTCCCTGAGAACCGCTTGAATACCTATACCTTCAAGGGTAATTCCCAGGTAACAGCTGTTTGCTGTCACTTTGCCCTCCAGTGGGTTGATTGTTCTGCATCAGAAGATATTGTTCGAACATGTTCGAACATCCAATGTGGATTTCCCCAGCATGAACAAGTTTGGTTGTTTGCTTCCTGAGCAAACGGACCAGGACTCTCATGGAAACCTTGGGAGATGCGGTTGAGGCCTTCGCAAAGAGATGGGAAGCAGATGCGTTTGGGCCGGTGTTGTTTGAGAATGTTTGAGACTGGCTATACTATTCTGATGTGAAATGATGTAGGCTGTTTGATCCATTTGTTCCCTCGAGGCGCTTGACACGATCGCAAACCTTGAGAACTCCTACAAGCCCAAGGTTGCAATCATCAAGGCGGGCTTTGCTGTGAGCAATGTGGAAAACCAACGAAGAACACTTGCTGTCAGCAGAGATTTTAGCAAGAAGACACCACTTTGTCCACACAGAATTGCGAGTCTAGCTGGCATAGAGTTCTTGATCACAGACATTCAGCAGATTGTTTCAATTATATAGATCAGGTTGCAGGCATGAGCCACTAGAGGAGCAGAGCGGCTTGCGATGTGAGCTACATCTCAACATAGAGAACCACAGGCATTGCTTGAGATAGAATGCAACTGGTACACAAAGTATGTTGTGTTTAGTTTTGTATATATATTTTTGAATACGTAGGACCAAGCTTGATACGCTGCAAGTCAGCTGGACGGTTGTTGGTAAGAGTTCTGGCTCATGCCAACCAGATCTCAGTGGACATGCATTCGTCTATTTCCGGGGCAGCTTGCATTGTCTTATGGAGTTCACGGATGTTTATAGCAGCAATCCTGTGAATGCTTTGTCCTGAAGTATTATGCTGTCATTGGGGTTCTTCTAACGTTTGAGTGGGTGAAGATAGGCCAGACAGAGACTTGGGATTTTCAATAACTGTTCATGATTTACTGTAGTGCTGGCAATATATTTCTACTATATATATATTCTATTGTATATTGTTATATATTATACATTGTATAATATTCAATAAGCAAACAACTCTGTATGAATGTCCTTTCCAACACATTGACATGCTGAATGATACTTGGACTGCTTGGACAGTGGGGACAGAGCATTCTTTAATGTATTTTAGTGTTCAGTTGATGGCCATTCTCTCGTCAATCTAGTTGCTTTCAACCCAGTTGAACCTATATTCATTCAATCAGTTCGGCTAGCTGCGAAGAGGCTTGCTTGGATCTTCATTTGAAAGACTTTGATGATGAGAAGGCAGCCGAGCATGTGGGCACCCCAGAAGGCCATGCAACAAGCAGATAGTATCGCAGGTCGAGTGGCAGGGTTCCTTCTTAGAAGCAAATTGGCAGCAGCCATAGGTTTGGGGGTCGGAAGGCTGCAGAAAAAAAACATGTTAGTCGTAATGGGAGAACCTGATGTCCAAGTGCTTCGGGAGCCCGACATGCTCAGCGATTGCACGGAGAGGATCGCTGACACTGGACTTCCCCCGCTTAGCAGCCGTGGATGTATTTACATAATATGCGTTCAAGGGGGGGTATTGAATCACACAGAGGAATTCTGGAGAAGCCTAGAACACAACTTTTGCTAGCCCCTTGGACCCTCGCTTGAAAACGAGCTCCCTTGAGAGCTTGGAAAAGGGCCATCATGTTAATTGATTTGCTGTGCTTTGAGTATGTGGTTCACGATGTGTTTCCGCGCGCCTGTGCCACACCTGCACCACTGACTAGACATTACACCTTTGTCGTCGTCTCCAAAGGTGCGCCACCTCCAAGGCCTTCACCCGCGGGAGACTGTCCGCAGACCTCCACCCCATGTTAGGAGCAAGGACACTACTAGGGGCTCCTGGCCGTACTACTAGTAACAAGAAGCTACTGGTAACAAGGGCATCGCTACTAGGAGCAAGGACGCTACTAGCATAGAAAACCTGCAACCTACACTGGCTCTCACCTTCATGATTCAATGGTGTTTCAAGACGTTGGGCAAAATTCCAAAGAGATCTTAAATGATGTTCAGTCAAATTCGCAGATACGGCAAGTTGGCAGGTTTCAAGCATTATTTTGTTGATTCAATCCTAGAAGAACTTGGGAGTTGCCAAGGTTTGCTATTATATATTATTTGCTATTTTGAGTGGATGCCCACCCGCAGTTTAAATAGTACAGTTGGCCTTCCCTGCGGAATTGTCCCAGCTGCCTGCACTGCTGAGCCATTTCAGAAAGTGGCTGACCCAATGATTGGCAATGATTGGTAGACCAAATTCACATCTCCACTTTGTCCTTTAAATGGGGAATTGTTTACCATCTATATAAGTCTCTCTCTCTCTATATATAATGCTTTGTGGGCCACTCCACTTGATGATGAGATGCACTCTAGGTTTGACATTACAGTACACAGAGGCAAATGCTTTTATGACGTGACTGCGGGTTGATACACAAGACTACAAGACTTGCTAGGCTCCAGCTACATCTTTGACGAGCAATCTAAGTACGATCCAGCAGGCACTTTGGAGGGAGGGGGTTCTGGGTTGACCATCACTGCGGGGACAAGAAACTACTGTAGGCAGGGCTTGCAGGCCATCGCCGGATGGACATTTTGTTCCCATATTGTTTCACATCCGTGCATGGGTCCATACGATTTTTTAGCCCCTCATATAGGTGTTGTTCGTGCGTTTTAAGCCAGCTATGGTGTGTTTTCGTGCAACCCACCCCGTGTGGTAAGTCGATATCACATTAACATATTATTGTCATCGATGTCACAACATTGTCATCGATGTTTTGGTTTCTGACTTCGTTTGTGGACGCCTCAAACGGACACATTGAGCATCGCCGCCATTTATTTGGATTGCCTGAAGCCTTTGTAAGCAGCCGAGAAGGATAAGCCCTTCCTTGTCTCTTAGACTTGACAGAGGATCAAAAAAGGAAAGGCTTGACGGTTGGGCCGTGGATCTCCAGCCGAAAGTCACATAGACAGTCCAGGTTTGCTCACTGTTCTCGAATCCTTTCGTGTGTCAGACAGTGTCGCGCCAACAAACTTTGATCTTTTGTTTAGCTGACACCATACTGTGCGTGGGACAAACTGGACATGATGGGTCCGTTTACAAGGGGAATTCGATCGTCGTTGGCACGCGTTTATGACCAATCGGCGCGTTGTTGTGCATCCTGTGGAACATGCCTGCTTTTCTGGTTATCATTCTTGATGGCCGCGCTTTTTGTGATGCAGCATTGGTGTCTAGAGTCTGAGAGTTTGTAGGGTTGTACAAGACATCGAAATAGACAGGTGGGCGAGCCGGCAAACCCATGGTTCCAAAATACACGGAAGGCACATTGCCAGATCCTATTTTTCAAAATTATAGTGTGCTTTCCACCGCTCTCTCTGGGAAGTCAGGTCGATTATCTAAGTAGTAGATGCACATGCAGACTTCACCAGCAGCCTCCACATTCATCAAGGAAAACAAGGTGTGATGCTTAATCGAGACTGCTTGGTTGGTGTTCATGGTGCAGGTGCACTTTCAATCATTTTCAATGAGAATGTGTGGATTTATTCCGAGACGCTACCAACTTGTGATGTCACTTTTGGAGATTTATGTAGCCCTAATAAATACACTTGACCACACCCTTCTTGATTGAGGACAGTCTAGGGGAATTTGCACGCACTTGGCGCGACCCCCGCAAAGACAAGAGTTGCACCATCCATTTTGGGAGCCCCTGCTAAAGGCAATAGGCAATAGGATGCAGACCCTCATATGCGCACTATCACTAGACGAGAAACGGGCTATATAGAGGAGACTGCGGGTGGGTTGTGTGTGGAGGTTGGCTTGCACTATCTTGCACTGCAACGTGGACACTTAATCATCCTCGACTACTGTAGACAAACTTCTCAGCACACCTGTTGGGAAAAGAGGTTTGTTGCGCGGCACTTGGGTGGGTTCTGACACTGATGCCCCCAGATTTTCCCTCACAGGAAAACTATGGAAAACTCCTGGACTGCCATGAGGCAGCAGCATTGCGGGGGGCTACGACCCTTGGGTCGTTTTGGAGCAGCCTGGGCCTTGAAAGGCTCGAGAGGCATGTTTTGTATGCCACAATAGATTTGCGAATTTACTTGTAGTCACTTGTTCCAACTGCTCAAGCTTTTGCGTGCTGTGTCATGAGAGTTGTTCAAGCCATTCAAGCCACAATGAACGTTCCAAAGAGTTGCCAAGCTTCGCGGTGGGGCAGATGATGATGGTGACCATTTGTAGAGGTCGAAGCTCCACTCCTTGTTCCAGGAGGAATGATTACCTTTCATTTCACGTTTGTAGTGCAAGCCCCGAAAAATTGGTGCGCTGCATGCATGAAACTTCTCCGCAGCACCCTCCACTCATAAGGCAGTGCTTTGATCAATTGACACAAACATTTGAGCATGAATGACAAGGGCGCGCTTAGTGATTCTACAGCGGAGAAAATTGCACGCTGTGAAAAGAGGAGGCTCGGTTTGCAGCCAAGAGAAAGCAGCGCCTTTAAGTTCTCAACACGAATCCGGCAGCAGCAGCAACAGCGAGAGCAGCAATGAATGAGCTGCCGCGGCAGCTGAAACCCTAGAAACTCATGCGTTTGTACGTAGTAACTGCGTCAAGCGTATATATGTAACATGCCCTGAGTCAGAGTCAGTGCTCAATCTTTGGTTCAAAGGCGGAGCCCCATGAAACTGTGGTTCAGCGATCGCTTCTGAGAAACAACACGTTGACCAGACCTTGGAATCGATGAGGACATTTTCCACTGCAAGTTTGTTGTGGTTGGCAACTCTCGATGTTCCTTTTCTTGCTGGGATTGTGGGTGCACAAAACACAGACAGAACACTCTGTTTGAACCCATGGCGTTGCTTGATGTTCACAAAGCTTGAGACCTCACACTAACACATTAAACACTAAGTGTATACATTATACATATATATATAATTATATATACACACTGTAATCATATATTAATATATATATATACATGTGTATCATAATTTGGGTTGTGGGCCAGTTGCGGGTGTCAAAAATCAATGCAATTGATGCCGTGATCATGCATCTGAGGCGTCAGCGCAAGGTGCGCAGTGATCATAGTTCAGACATGTTGAGAAGTTGGGTGTGTCCTGGCTTTTCGTTGACCGTGCAGCCGAACCAGGAAGAGTGACCCACGGCACCGAATATAGTATCCGTTGAATCATTGAATTAGCTGGACAGCATTGGTACTTGTGTTTCGAGTTGCTAAATTTATAGATGTGTTTGGATCAACATAGCTCTGTCGGCTAGAGCTAGCAAGGCAACAACCTGCCATGCATGTTGAATGTTTTACTCTGATTTCCCAGCTTGGTTTGATTTTCTAAATCTGATTCCTCGCCATGCCGGCCATGGTGGCACAAGTGGGGGTAGGCTACGAAGGCCACTAGCTGCACTAGCTTTGGCCTCGTGGGACGCCCCTGTGATGGGTTGGAATTTCCCACAAGATCCACAATTTGATGGCTTCGACTTCCCAGCTTTGTGATTGTAGCCTGCAGTTGGCTGGATCAATGTAGCTTTGGTTATTGGTTGTTGGATATGTATATATATATACTGTACATATTTGGATATCCTCATTGAAATTGGACAATGGCACCGCAGGTGGAATCACAGAGGCTGAAGGCATTGTTTGCAAGCTGGTCTCTCAGATAGGGTTACATCCTGGAATGTGTTCAGATGATTCATGCGGTTAAGGCGGTGTGGGTCAAAACTCAGTACTCCAGTGATTGCCAGGACAAATACTGATATACACATATATAAACTATGGATGTGGGTTAGGGATGATTGGGGTCCAAGCCTTGTTTTCAAAGTTTGACTCACTGGTAAGGTGGCTGGAGTTTCCTGGGAAGTCAATGATCTATTCAGCAAGCTATCAACAAACTTATATGTCATAACCTGTGTGCCACTGTGTGCTTGCGTGTTATCTCTATAAGATAAGATCTATATATCTACCAGGATTGTGCACTCTAACTTATATATATAATGTGTAAGAGCTGCCCAAGTATCCTGGGGCATGTGCACAGTGGTCGAGACCACAAACTAATCTTGAAGTTGTCGTCGTCCAGCTATGGGAAGCTTTTGTTGCAAATCCAAAATGGCCAAGATTGTGCAATGGAATTGTTCCACTAACAATTGTGCCAAGTCTACGAGAGCTTTGGGTAGAGTATGCCACTGTGTCCGAAACAGGCTGAGTTTTCTTTGCCACTGGTACAGGCATCAAAACTCAATGCACTGTTTTTGGCATGTAAAGTACAAGCATAGCTGTTGCTGAGCTGGTGAAGATGTTCCTCGGTCATGGGAGAGTACAAACTTGGTACAAATTCCTGTTGTTCAACTTTGGATAGGCCAGTCTTCGATGCCCGTGTGCTTACAGTGTTGTGCGTAACTATGAGAGAAAAGGCTCGGCCCTTAAGATTTGCCATGCACTGTAGACTGATGCCGATGAGTGAAAAGGCATCGTCACCCAGAAGCCAAATGAGCTGGAGATGGGCCCTAGACTCGACTTTAGCTATCTCTAGCTTACCATAAGAATCATAAGAGTTTTTGACTTACGTTATGTAAGCTATATTCATTTTGTGTATTCGGGCTTTTTGTAAGGCCTGAGCATCTACAAGGCCCTGCTCTTGAACTGCTTGCCGAAAGGTGCAGAGGCCTGCCATCCACAACCAGAGCTCCAAAATATCCACCAGCAATAGATGCATCAGCAGCGGCAGCAAGAAGTAAAACAGCAACAGCAGCCAGAGGCGAAGAGTTTGCCCCCAGAACAGGTGACATTTAAGAATCAGAAGGGGTTGGGTAACACATGGTAACACATGCGTTTATATCCTTCAGCAGAACGATCTATGGCTGCACACAACGAACCTCACAACAAACAACGGCCGTTCCTGCTTCATGATACATCAACATTCCACATCTCTCGACCCAGCTGAAGCCTCGTTTCATGAGGCCATAAAGTCTGGAGTTTGTTTGAGCCAGGTCTCAGTGCCCACAGACCTCAAGACCTTCCAACAGTGTGTAGCTTAGCTCTGTGGATTGAGGGATATTTTTAGTTTAATAACCTTACGAAGGAATTGTAGGCTTGCCGGGAAACATGTGTTAGAGTCTAGGATATATGAAGAAGTGAGTTCCACTGTTGGCATGCCATTGTAGTACAGACAGAGGTCACTTGAATGGTGAAGCATCCTGCAACTAGATAGCTGAGCTTTCCTCGAAACCGTTTACTTACTTTGTAATTAGACGTCGGACGCAATTTGACGGAAAAGCCATCAGGCCATCAAGGTTTACGGTTTACCCAATGTCGGCGAAGAAGAGCTACCTCAGGGGATATCAACTTGACAGGCCTGAATATTCAGGGTATATGACTTCTCCAGTTTGCTCAGACCTTGTTAACTTTGCAGCCAATATCGACATCGCCCAACTCCAAAATTAGTACGTGTAGAAGACCTCACGAAGAAACTTGTAGCTGCACGTTTCATCAGGTATTGGAGAGCTTTGCTAGTACATGTTTTTCCAATGCGGCTCCAAGGCTGGAGGCCAAGCGTTCCCTGACAGACCTACACGGAGATTGCCATGGATTCCCAGCAGTTGGGGAGATGGGCAACTGGCTATGGCAATGAAGACTCCTGTCCATGACCCGAACAATCTTTGTAGATTTCTTTGTACTGGGTCCATGACTGCATTACCGTACAGCCTAGCATGCTTTAAGGCCAAGGCAAAAGGACAACTGAACAACTTGTTATTGGAAAAAGCACAGAATGATGGTATGACAAATTCAGAGAGTATGGTGCTTGCAAAAACTAGTGGAAACGGTTGGATAGCAACAGGATTGTGTTGGCCACGCAACGCCTCTAAGAGTAGTAGCGTTCTTGTTCCTAGTAGTAAGGCCAGGAGCCCCTAGTAGCTTCTTGCTCCTAGTAGCGATGCCAGGAGCCCCTAGTAGCGTCCTTGCTCCTAGTAGCGATGCCCTTTGCTCCTAGTAAGATTACATGCTTGATCTTCAGTGTCACGGATGCCAAGTAAGTGTAGAACACCACAGACGATTTGTGAAGCATTTCTGCAAGCCTGCTCTTTTTACAGTTGGTACAAGACAATATGTGTTGAAAGTTGAAACAGTTGCTTGCAGTGAATATGACCCATCCATGTTTTGCTCCCGTGTGAAGGCTTTGTTGCAGCAACCAAAATGTCAAAATGACACTGCAGAATGTACTGACACACCGGGGGAGTTCTAGCATTTTATAGGTTCAACCTCAGGGATTTTCATTTTGTTTGGCAGTCCTCGGTTGGCATCATGGCCTCACGTCCAGAAAATAGCGATTTCTCAATTGTTACTGTAGGTGTTTGTTAGTTTGCAAAGTCCATTTCTAAGCCTAAGTATTTCTGTGGCCTGGAAGGATTGCTGTATACCGTTATATATTATATATATACCTCTCCTTGTTGATGGAAGTGCAGCGAGGTGAGAAAGTACCTCTTCCATACTACAGCAAGGCAGTGTTCTCAGTTTGAGGGAGACGAGAGAAAAGGAGAGAATGGGCCATGATTGGAGTTTGGGGTGATTTTCACACGACTGCCTAATGTCTTGGTCAACAATAGCCGTGGCCTGTAGACAGGTGGTCTCAGAGATGGAGAAGCTCAAGCAGAATCGGCCAGAGCATTGGAAGGCCTTGGGCCGCAAAAACTGTTCGGGCTTGTCAGGGGTTGGTTGTTTCTCAGGCAGAAATCGACAGAGCAGGTCGAAGGCTGCATTTATATGATCACATGTGAGCATGTTAACAGAGGGTCTTCAAGATAACTCAGGACTCAAGATGAACCTTGTGTACCTGTACCTCCAGCTGTTTCTGCGGCACTCAAGCGTAGGTCTAGCAAGGAACATGAACCCTGCAGCGACTTGCAATGCTTTTTTTGGATCCTCATGACGGAACAGACATTTGATCAAGCTACTGTGTTAGGCCAGGGTTCTGGCTTCCAACCTTCTCAGATCTGCGACAGGTTTAGGTTTCCGCAATTCAGCCCAACGTCCAAGAGTCAGAAAATGGTTGCTTTTACCTTTTCTAGTTATTAAGAACGCTTGCAGCCGCGTGCCAAGAATTATATATGGGTTAAACAAACATCAGAAGCTCATGTAAGAGTTCTGATAAAGGCATTTTCCCGACCCACCAATATCATGTGATGCGCATTCTTCAAGAGGGAGCATGGGAGGATTTGTGCGAAGCTTTTGCCAAAGGACCTTTTCCTGGTGACCTTGGCCTTGGTTCGATCTGTCCGCCAGCTTGGTTTCGGAGAGACTTCGACGTTGCTCGCCACTGCGTTTTCAATTGTTTTCAAAAGGCTTGGGAGTTGCAAGGGGAAACACCAATGCGGACGTTAGAGCAGTGAAAGAACTACTGAGCTACTAGCACTTCCCAGTGAAAACCAGAGGTGCCAGTTCAAGTTAGTTCTAAGATCGATCAGGAGACAACCCGGGAGAGCTCGACCCATTTTGCCAACAAATCAAAGATTAAGCTGAGGCCATTTCAGCTGCAGAATCCTCTGACAGGTGGGCCAGGAATGTGCCAAGTCAACTTTGGGTGCGGTTTATGGTTTGCTCTCCAAGGGTTACTTTGAGATACTTTGAGAAATAGAGGGTAAACCATAGAGCATGCCAGTCCTTCACCTAGTTCAGGAGCCTTCCATGGTTTAGGGACAAACAGAATCAGGGACGGACCAAAAAGAAAGGCGTCAGGTCATTAGATGCATATATGTTTGTAAACATAGATGTTCCTTGGATTGGAGATGTCACATCAGCAACACGAAGCAGCTTGGATGCAATTGTTCTAGTGGAGTCCCCTCTCAGATCAATATATTCAATCTCTACAGTTGTCCTACAGCTGACCCGTGAAATCCAGGGATTGTCAAAGTCGGTGAATGGTTCAGGGCTGATTCTGGGCGCTCTCTCAGTCTCTATCATTACTCTAGGGCATCGCTACTTGCAGCAAGGACGCTACTTTTCTGACAGCTTGGCGACCGCTTGGCCTGTATCGGTTTTGGATCAGGCACCTGTTGCGCTCGGTGCTGATCACCAGAGCCCTGAGGTGCGGACAGGACCTGACAGAGCCTGACCTCCAATTGCCATTGGACTGAGCTGTTCACCTTGGACCCACATGACCCATGGACCTTGGAGAGAGAGGGAGAGAGAGTCTTTACTTTCTCCCAGACTCCCATTGCCATTCTGCTCAACATCCATGCCTGACGTACAACTGGTCAGGGAATTGTGAGTTTGAGGCACCAGGACAGTAGAATGTAGCCTTGGCCTTGGCTCTTTAAACAGGAGGCCTTGCTACCCCACATTGACTGAACAACTCCCCAAGATTTTGTCCTCGATGATGGTGAATATCCATAGTAGCCGACTTGCGGAAGTTGTTCCACTAATTTGGGATGTCATGGTGGTGTACAGGAGATCAACATAGTGCCTTTTTTCATCTTTTTCACTTGGGCAGACTTCTGTTGATGGCCAGTCATGCTCTTGGCCAGGGAAGGCTGCCTGTGCATGGCCAAGGCCGGCATGAGCTCCCGGAAAGGTCGTTCGGCACCCAGTCTCAGTCTTGCCGCGTTGTGTGTCCGGTGATTTCGTGGTTGTAACATGTTGTGAAATGTCACAGACATCAACAGGCTACATGAGAGATGTGACACTTCGATCTCATCGCACAGGTTGGGACTTTGCATCCTCAAGGCCTGTTGGCCAGGACTCTGAGGTGTCACAAAATGACACAGTTTGGCCCCCGACCCACTGCCCAAATCAAAGCAGGTGTAGGTCGTGGTAAAAGGTACAGATACATTTGTCGTGTGAGTGCGTTGTAAGATCTCCTGGTTCTATGTTAAGAATTCCAAACGGTTGGAATGAACATCATCCGCCCATCCGCTGTTGGACGCTGGGGGGATGCTACACAGTCGTCTCGAGAAAATTATTCGTAATATATTGTAAACTCTAATTGTTCCATGAGAATCTGACGCCTATATATATTATATAAGTGTAATTGACCTTTGAGTATCTACCGTGTCTTAAACCTGTGCGTTACTGGGTGGCCGCATGTTTTGTCCAGTTTCTGGTGTGGTACTAAGGGGAGAGGGGTCTTCTTTTTCCAGATCAAGAAAAAGTATCCGGATCAAACAACAACTTCCCCGCATCAAAGCAACTCCAGTAAAAGAAAGACAGACAGACAGACAGACAGACAGAAAGAAAGAAAGAAGAAAGGAAGGAAGGCAGGAAGGAAGGAAGGTAGGAAGGAAGGATCATTCCTGACGCCCGCAGATGCCAAGCTTGAAATGTGCTTTTCTTGTAGCTCGTGCTTTTGCGATCTTGACAACAGCCATCATTATATGTGAGATGCTAAACGCATTGCATCTGATGTCCGGTTTCCCACGCAACTATTGTACTTGTTTCTGCTAGCCTTTGCTTGGGTGCTGTGAAAGCGCCACAAAAGTGGATGATAAGGCCCACCTACTTACTAGTAGCTTATCTCTTTAAAAACTTATCCTGAGTATTCTTCAATCATACGCATGTCCACTGCAACAAACCTAGGCACTTTGCCAACGAACCCTAAACATACCGGCAACAAATTCCAAACACACATCCCAGACACAGTCCAAACGAACCCGACTGAGACAACTCAATAGCAAACTATGTCAGAGCGAAGAAGCAAGAAATGCCCTTGTGTTTTACAGGGATCTGTTCACTGTTCGGTGTGCGCCACATTTGCTTATGCAAGTAGGGGGACACCCCCGCACCTTTGCGAAGGTAAGGTCATCTAAGTCCCTTGGAATTCTTCCATTTCTTTACTCTGCTTATTTGCTTGTTCTGCTACACGACTATTTGTCATTTACGGGAGGCGCTGTGCCCTCCTCCAGCTTCTATTTTACGACCAAAACAGCCCCCACCTCCCTCACTGCACCTTTCCGAAAGCTAAGTTGATTCTTCGAAATCCGGTCTATTTGTCCTTCGCTTCTTGGCTTCGATGTTCTTCTTTGCTATTGAAATTCTACAGACACCAGTCTCATCTCATTTCTTCAAAGGTAGGCACTGCCTACCACGGAAGTTCAGCAGACACATCCAAAAGAAAGTGAAGTTCTTGGTTGAATTACTGTTTGGTTGCCAAGCACCTCTTGTCTCACCCCCCGCACCTTAGCGAAGGTAAAGTCATTCAAGATCATGTTGAATTCTTCAGAAACAAGGAGGATCAAAACACATTGAATTGCAAAGGATCAAAAGAACAAACCATATTCAGCCAACCAAAACCTTATTTCTTCTTTGTTTGATAGTACAGTCATTGAATCGTTGTTTTCATCCTGCTTAATTGTTGTTGATTCTATTGGTTTCATTGTTCGATCTAGAAAAAGATGTTGATCCTTTAACCTCACCACTCACTGTGCGGAAGGGCTTTGGAAGAGGGGCGGACAGAGTGCTCGCAAACTCGATTGGAGGATGTTAACATACCTCTTTTTGAATGTATTTTTGTTTAACCTTAGGAGTTTGAAGCACCCATCTTGGCCCAGGATCATGGTTAGGGGGACGCCAGTGGACGCAGTTGCTTCCAATTTCTGGTGGTCATTGAAAGCGGTCGTGCCATCATTCTGGGCATTGGGTCGGCAAAAGACTGAATACCAAGCCAAGACTTAAGGAATGCCTCTTACAGAAGTCTCAGAGAAATGGACAGGCCTCACGTAGACATGCGCATCTTCAGCCTCTTCATGCGGTTTTGCAGCTTGGCAGCGAAGAGGGCGTAGCTAAAAACATCTAAGAACTACGGGCACTGCCAACTGAAGCAACTGTTTTAGTTTGTGCCTCCAAGGAATGAAGGATTCAAGACAATTGAATTGCGTTCACTGGCCCATCTGAGGTGAGAGGTTGGAGAGCCTTTCGAAGGATGAAAACACACATAAGGACACCACCTATGGCGGTCAGGCATGCAGTTCCTGTGGAGAGGGCCATTGAGAAGTCCAGGATTTGATGTTGTTTCACCTCCAATGTTCAGGAAGTGTTCAACGATGACTGAGATTAATATGGCCCGTACGTTCGCACGTGGAGGCATTACTACGCATCCAATAAGAGATTGAGACAAGATGAGAAAAGATCATTCAGTCAGCTAAACACATTAGGAATGAAAGCTGGACTTGTATGATCTCTATGTTTTTCCTTCGATCAACGGGAGAGGTATCAACAAAAATGAATAAGCATCAAGAAAAAAATTGATAGGCATCAAGAAAAAAATAATAAGCATCAAAAAGAATGTTTGGTAACCGGTCCTCTAGTCCTTTCATCCTCTCTCTGGACCCTTGGTCCCCTGGTCCCTTGGTCCTCTGGTCCTTTGGTCCTCTGGTCCTCTAGTCCTGTGGTCCTCTGGTCCGCTGGTCCCTGGGTCCTCTGGTCCTTTGGTCCGCTGGTCCCTGGGTCCTCTGGTCCTTTGGTTCTCCTGCTACATCCCTTTATCCCTCTGCTGCCGCCGCTGCTTTTGAAACATGCTGTCCATACTTGTTTGCGTTACGGGGGAGGCGCTGCGCCCTCCCCCGAACCCCCTCCCGCTTCTTTAATCCTCCAAGAAAGCTCCAAGTCAAGCCCAAAGAAACGTTAAAGAAGCGAAGGCCCAAGCGAAGCTTAAAGTCCAAAGAACCCCCAAAGAAACGAAGCTCTAAGCCAAGCCCAAAGAAACCCTAAAGAAGTGAAGCCTCAAGACAAGCACAAAGAAACCCTAAAGAAACGAAGCCCTCAACCAGGCCCAAAATAGAACCCTAAAGAAGAAAACCCAAAAGCGAAGCCGTGAGCAAAGCCTAAAGAAGCCTTACTTAAACCCCTGATCCCTTGGTCCCTTTTGACCTCTTGCTCCCTCTGTTGCTTCCTGAATGTCCTAGTCCCTTGAGCTTTACTGGTTTGCTGGTCCTAGTCTCTTGGTCCCTTGGTCCCTTCGTCTCTTTGGTCGTTCCATATCCTGGTGACCGCTCCAGATTGATATTGAATTATGTTTGGAAGGTACATTTATTTACGGAATGTGTTCATTTGTTTTTTGGTATGTTTTTTCGGACTCTGCTTTTGCAGCTTTTCTGTTTCTGCTGCGTTTTTGCTTTTGCATATGCTTCTGCTGTTTTTTCTCACTGTGCTGTGTTTTTTAAAACTATGTTTTTGTGCTTTCCATTTTGTTTGTTCTTCTTTGCTTCTTCTATTCTTCTGCTTTGGCAACTGTTTTGCTTTTTGCTTTTGCTTACTTTTCTGGCTCTTGTTTCCCCTTCTGTGCATGTCTCGCCTTTCCCTGCGTCTCACCGCTTCTTTGCTTTGTTACTTTTCCTGCTTTCCTGTGCGTGTGTTGCCTTTCCTTGCTTCTTACTGCTTCATTTGTTTTTCTGCTGCTGGGTTGGTCTCTTTGTTCTTCTAATTATAGTGTTCTTCTCTTTGGTACTACCACTACCACTACCACCACCACCACCACTACTAATACTACCACCGCTACTGCTACTGCTACTCCCACTACTACAACTCCTACTACTAATACATCTTCTGCTACTGCTACTGCTGCTACTGCTACCGCTACTATTGTTACTACTACTACTACTACTACTTCTTCTTCTTCTACTTCTACTTCTACTACTACTACTACAACTACTACTTCTACTTCAACTTCTACCCATACTTCTACTTCTACCTCTACCACCACCACCACCACTACCACTACCACTCCTACTACTACGACTACTACTACTGCTACTGCTACTGCTACTACTACTACTACTACGACTACTGCTACTACGACTACGACTACGACTAGGACTACTACTACTACTACTCCTACTACTACTACTACTACTACTACCACTACTACTGTGATATTTTTTGACCAAAATTATTTTTAAAATGATCTCCTCAAACAATTTTTTTGATCCCTATCAATTTTTTTTTGATCCTTCACCCGACGAGCTATCCAACTGAGATGGAAAAAGCTGTTATTGTTGCTTCTTTTGCTGCATATGCTCGGGAGGTGGGGCTGGGTGTGAGCTCGACTGGGCTTTTGCAATCTAGGCCAAGTGGTCTATGAGTCCATCAATCATGGCCCCACCAGGTAGGGCCTTAGGATGGCAAACACCTGGCAACCCAGTCCGTATAGGAAGAAGCACCAAAAGCTGTGGCCCACAGTTGAACAATTTAAATGAGGTTACAATGAAGTGCGGTGAGTTCTAAGTGATCACTGTTTGAGCAATAGCCAATAGCCACATCCCAGGAGCTTGAAAAGCTGCACGACAGCTCGAGGCTCAGCTAATCTTTGTCGTGGCCCCCCTCTCTGAAGGATCCGATATGAGCCTACCCAAGAACAACACTTTTGCAACTGTCCTGGTGCATTGTAATACGAGCATGAAAGTGAGGATACGCTTGATGGGTTTGTTAAGCTTTACAAAGCTATCGCTACAAGTACTCCACACCTGTCACTGTTTCCATCAACAACTGAGTTCGGCTCTCGAAGAGCTCCCTTGAAGCTCGATTGACCACCCCGCGCACCAAGCTGGACCAAGCTGCTGAAAGGCAAAGCTTTTGGAGGACTTTCTTGAAGAGCAACCTTCCCAGAGGGACAGGTGAGCCCGCTGATTTTTAGCGCTCTCTGTCAGAAGTAATGTCCACCTCTGAATAATAACCCACCCTTGCTCACGTGCGGGCCCTAAAACTTGTAAAATCCAGACAAGTCCCAGAAAATATTGATTTGAGTTTGAAATAGAAGGACAATGAAAGGAAATGAAAGGAAAGAAAAGGACATGAAAGGACCATGAAAGCTGAAAATCAGGGTCCAGAAAAAGATTAGTATTATTTGGGAGGCATTTATATATCATGTGTTTTGACATACCTCAGTATTATTCACAGGCCATTTATAAATCAGAAGTCAACATTAAACCGTACTGTACGGAAGCTAAATACTGCAGGGAGATGTCTAAAATAGTTTTTTGGCTGCCAGTCTCCGCGTCAGCATGTATCCAATCAACGGAATGACTTGGTGCTTCTTTCCTGTCATGCGGTAAGCCCAATGTCAAACTGGGAGTCAACGGACTTCGCAGCGATTCTCGAGTTCCACGGATACATGAGGCGTGATCTTTGCTGCCCTTCGATTGCGAAACTATGCGTTGCTCGGTCAAAGAAAAGAAGCAATAGTAATACAGTCAACAACTTGTGTTGCTCCTCCAGCTGAGTGTTGCACAAAACGAACATTGCGAAGAATATCCAGACTGGTTTGTGTAGTTCATGTTCAGAGACAATGGAATGTGTTTCTAGCGGAAGCCTATAGACTCTAGACTATAGACTCTTACAAGGGCGCAATTCACAAAAAATGTGCATCTATAGATACACCAATGTTTCAAGAATGAGTTCTTGCATTAGAGGAAGTCCTGAAATAAGCACCGAAATCGATAGGCTGAGTATAATCATTATAATCGACTTGAGAAAATGTTTGACCAGGCTTGACAAAGCCGGCTACGGAGGTGCAAGGGTTTGTGAGCACAAATTATCATCATGGGGCTGGCTGTGTCTAAGTGGCTGTCGAGCAAGCGTCCCGCCATCAAGACATTTACAGTAATTCCCTTGCTGATTCTTAATGGAAGTACTAGTAGTAACAAGAAGCTATTAGAAACAATAAGCTAATAGCTTCTTGTTACTACTAGTAAGGCACTTGTTACTACTAGTAAGGCACTTGTTACTATGTGTTTCCTGTCGCTTTTGTGAGCCAGCTGACAGGGTAGGGTCAAAGGTGTTTACTGTTCTTCTCTCAGAGAAGAATATTTGGGATCTATGGTCTATCGCCCTGCACCACGGTATACCAGGCAGTATTCTTTTTCTGGGACCATTTTGCAAACGGCCATGGCAAGATGCAAGTGGCCTTTTATTCAAGCATTTTTAAAGCCGCGGTGTTTAGCTTAATAGCGTCTATATAATGTCTATAAAACGATTATATACACATATATATGTCATCTACTAGTGAAAGCCAAAGCACCAGAACCTTGAATGCCCTTGAATGCGGTCGGTCTGGATGGCAGTAGGGGCAGTTGCTGTTCCTCACTAGTATGACTGAACAGAGAGGCCGGTGGCAAAGAAAAAAGTTGCTTCGGAGGTGCTGCATTCCTGCTAGGCACCCAACAAGCTCGAAAGCCACGCTTTTTCGAAGCCAAGGCGCAAAACATGGGTCATGCTCATGCCCACATTCAGGGGACATCTCTTTGTCACGTTGAAAGCACGTGGGTGTCAACTCACGACAAAGCAACCAGAACCTGCAGTGCCTTGCAGCTGCTGTTGACACGCATGCAAGGTGTCAAGTCTTTGGCGGGGTTGTTCTTTTTCATGTGATGTCCTTTCTGAAGGCCACACAGGGGTTGACTCGTTTTTGATATGTTTTTACCAACGCTCCAAATTCATCCGAAGTTACCTGTCACCCACGTCCTAGTATCAGAGGCATGGTCAATGATTGAAGGTCAAATGTTGCTATGACACCATACTACGAAGGCATGAGCCTCACAAGCCTCATTAAAAACCACACACACAGTGTGACATGGCCGTGTGGCGATATTTTCAGACATTGCTGAGAGCAATGTATTTGGCGCGTTTTGTTGGTTCCATCCCAAGCACTGCATAGAGCCGTTGTGCTTTTGGAGGCTTTCCATGATAGCTTTAGGGACGCTGACCTGCAGACCTTGGGCACCACGGCCTTGGACGGAGGGTCAGCCACCCAACGAGAACGGGCAACGAAGTGGCAGCTTCATATACTGACATAATGGTGTTTTCATGTTTCAGCTTGTCATGAGGAAGTGAAGGTTGGAGAGAATAATTATATAAAGAAATCAGTACCTATTGGTTGAGGGCGCCTCACTGGTCTGAAAATCTTAGAGCAATGTCCTTCACCTTCGCAATCTTTCGCAAAATACGCGGTGCCCCTCAGGATTTTTAGTTCATACCCACAATCCCAGAGATGGTCGCCGATTATGCGTTGATTCACAGTGCACAGATACCAATATCAGCAACTGAAGCCACCATGCGCAGACCTTTAGATACTCACGCATGACATTTGAGCACATAATCCCATTGGGCCTGAGGTCCGATTGTTATCCCCACGAATCCCCATGGTCTGATTTTTGTAAAGTGCGGATCGAGGCCAACGAGGAGCTCTAGGCATCAAGGACCTTCGAGGAATCGAGGCATTTGGAAGGCGAACGAAGAAGAGGCAGAGCCGGCGAAGCCTTTTGGCGTTTGTGATTTCGTTTGGCAAGTGGTTTTGATTCAATATGATTTACAAATCAAGAAGAGGAAGGACCAACAGAGTGCATGGTGAAGATTACATTATGGCTGATGGATGCTGATGGTGTGGAAAGAGAAGCAGAAACTGAAACTGATTTGGGAATATGTGGGAAATCAATGGTGAGAATTTGATGGGCACATAAGGGCAAAGAAAAGGATTTGGTCAGGACGCTCTTGAGGCTACTGCGCAAAAATTGGAGGCTATAGAGACCCAACTACTGTCCTGAGGGGCCCAACGTATTCAGCAAAAGGAGTTCTATCAGCACTCATTTACCCGGTTCGGTACGGAGGTTCAACATTGAGACTGATGGATCGGTGACGGGAAGCATTCAGAAGCCATAGACTTGTTGAGCCGCCTCACTGACAGACACAGCAAGCTGCACATACAGCTGGCCCTATTGCACTTCCAGGAATATTTTTGCAATCTGGCCCTACAAACTGAAAAGCATTACAATTTGCAGGAGAATTATGCTAGCGCACACTGATCAGAGGTCCTGGTCCCGGACGCGCTGTGGTACCTTTTCTCGGAATTCATGTCGGAAATATCATCCTTCCATGAACGGCTGAAGCGAATCCAGGCTGCGGAGGTGAAGAAGTCCACCAAGATCATTCAAGCTGAAGCACCGCTCACAACGCTCAAAGACAGCGATGGAAGAGGAAATGTGGATTGAGTTTCAGATAGATTAGCCTTTTCTCATTGTCCTTTCTTTACACTTTAGACCTTTCTGTCCTCTTGGTTGGGAGGGAATGTTTCTGGAGAATCCTCAAGAGAATGCTCGACACTGACACTCTCCACTGCTTTACTGAACTGGTGGAATTTGTCAATTGCTTCTTTGGGTGGCCACTTTCGACACAAACATGTTTGTGCGAGACCACAGTTCTTCCACACTCAGCTCGCCTTTTATCGAGGCCGAAACGAAACGCCGCTTTCCCAACGCCACATGATTCAGCTCCCAGGCTCACAGCACAGGTGTCACAGGTAGTCGGCAGGTAGTAGGAGACAAAGGCATGTTTGCTTCCACGGCTGGGCTGGAGATAGTAGCGTGACAGCTCCTCCTCTTGTCTCACAGTAAAGGGTTCTGAGAAGCACCTGAACACCTTCCAAAATCCCATAACACCAACACTTCAATCCAAAGCATCTTTGGCACCTTTCTTGATTCACAGTTTCAGTTTCAGGTCTTGAAGTTGACCTCGGACTGAAACAACCAGGCTAAAATCTCCACAGAAAGCTAGGTGGTAGCCACCGTGCACTGCGATGGCCCGGCCAAAGAGCCGATGGAGCATCAAATGGTCGGAGAAGCACATCTTCAAAGCGGAGCAAGAAGGCTGAACTTCCCATGGTCGTTTTGCACATCAGGGCAGTCGAGGGCAGAAAAATTGAAGAGTGCTTGAGCTGGTCGGAAATTGCTTGATCAAGAACCACGAATCAAGTGTTCTTTAAGGATCTTTCTGCTCAGCTCCCAACTTTGTGGGCAGGGTGGCTGCATTCGGGTGGTCAAGTACTACAGTAGTAACAAAGTGCATTGTCAAGGGCAATGGACAACTATACAAGCAGACCAATGCTTCTTTTCCACTGCTGCTGATATGGGCACTGGGTAGACTGGATCAGTTCTGTATATATAGTTATAGTATAATGTTATCATCCCTTATTCATTCATAGGCCTTCTGACTTTTAAATTTCAGAGGTCAACCATTTGCCCATACTTTGCCCATGGTAGTTGATCAAAAGGTCGAAATAAGGCCTAGTTTCGTTGAGAGCCTTCTATTTTGTTGGCGAGCGTCTTGTTTTTTCGAGTTTGTAAAGGTAAAGACTTTTTGCGGAGGACCTCCGAACGATTGGGGTATGTGGAAAGAACCACACCAAGGAGAACAGCTCCCCAGCAAAAGTTCAGTTAAGCAATTGAGTTTGCGAAAGTAAAGATTGTTTGCGAATAATTGTGTTTCCGTAAGAAACAAACTAGATCAATCACCATATGTTTGTTATATATAAGGCTTGCTTCTAGTTCCTTTGTTGTTTTCCTTCTTTGGTGTGGTGCAGGTGACAACATCTCCTTGAACTGTGTGGACGTCGCTTGGAGGAATCACGCTAAAAGCATCCTGTATTGTATCATATTGTATCAGCCAATTCGGACCCTGTATGTTTGGGTCCCCTTTTTGTGATTTGTGTCAAGACGACACTTTTTGTCATGGTTGTTCTATAATTGAAGCAGTTGCTGAATGGAGTTTAGCCTTAGCTTAGCATGTATGCCCTCGCATGCTAGTCACCAATCCCAAGCGGTCGTAATTACACTGGGTGTTTATTGAAGCATGTCAATCTCAGACTATGTGTCCAAAGGGGGAAGGGACCCCAAAATCTGTCCGGCCCCTCTCTCCTTTGCACAAAAACAGGCCGCAACCGGCTGCTTTCTTGACAAAGACAAGAAGGGGCAAGTCCCGCTTGACTATGTGTTCGTTATGTTAGGGGTATTATGTTGGTACAATCTACAGGTTCGCACTGTTCACTATCTTCGCGCTTACAACTAGGCTGTTTAGCCAAGGGCCAAGGGTTGGCGTGTTTGTTTGTTGGTTTGGATATTGATCACGATGTCCAAACCGCAAAAAGAATCCCTGCGGCAAAAGGCGTGCAATCGCACTGGACAAAGTCAAATGAGAGATCATGAAATCCAACCCCATCAGTTGCCCATGGTGTCCTTTCTCTTCTGTTGTGTAAGCTTGACCTATTCTAAGCTGCTGAGGACTGGTGCAACACCTTAGACTCGCAGCTCTTTGAGCGTTTCGGGCCACAGCCACCGCGCTTGGCTGCAGCCAGCCTGAACTTCTCACGTTGTAACTTAGATGATGAGGCACAGTCGGGTGATTGGGAACATGCATGAACATGCTGAACACGGCAATCACAGGTAGTAGCAGCCAGAATCCGTTACTGCTATGGGGCGAAGTGGGTGAATGGGTTTGTTTATGTAAACGTTCCTACTACTTTAGCGATCTTGCATCGCTGAGACAGGTAAGGCGGAGACTACGCTTTTTTCCAGCTATAGCTGGTGTTCAAAACGAGTTTTTGTTGAGTGCCTTTTGACGATAAGATGCAAGTACATAAAAGAGTGTGGATGAAGCCCTTTGATGTCGTTCTGAACGGTCGACGCAGGAAAACAAAACACCAAGTCAGACCCACCAAGAGATTGGAGTTGGCCGCCAGATTGATGCGAGCTAGAGCCAACCCAACCCAACCCTGGTCCTGGAGAAATGAGGACCAAATCTTTCAAGAATGCAATCCAGCAGCTCCGCCAGTTTTGTGGTTTTTGTGATCCACTTTTGCCGGGCACATGCGCCAGCGTAAGGCAGTTGCGCATTTGCGTGCAAGATCGCACAAGGGTCAAGACATCCCCGGACTCTGCGGAGGCGCTCACAAAGCTCTTGACGTTTCTCTACAGTAGAGACATCACTGTCCAGATCATGAAGCTATTCAGGCGAGAGCGGGCGAGTTAGATCAGTGATCATCAGTGTTTGAAGGTCCAGACATTCAGAAGAGGTTCAAAAACAGGCATGGCAGCGATGTGTCCTGAATTGCGGATTTCGACTGTAGTAAAGACAATGATACAATACTTTAGCATACAATACTTCAGCCACAGAAACTTGAAGGAGGCCGGCCAATTAGGATTAGGCACCAAAGCATTTCCAAGTCATCACACAAGGGAGCAGCATCTTGCCTGTCAATGTCTAGTGCAATAGTTGGGACATTCTGGTGTCCAGTGATCTACGGCTTGTACAAGTGGGTGTTGGGAATGATATAGTAGTTTGGCACCAAAGGGCGCGCTGATTAATGCTTCCCATTGTGTGTTTTGTGGCGTCAAGCACAGAACATTATAACTTATAACTTGTCACAATGCTGCAATGGAATGCGTGTCTTTGCCCTTGCGACGTCCAAGAAATGTAAGGGTGCAGTGATATTATTGCCTTGTGCGCCATTGAGAGCATGAATGACACATTCAAGTTTGGTCTAAGGTCTGTTCAAAGCACCCTTCATTGGGGTTGAGATTCGGACCCGCGCTCTCCAGAGGAACAACATCACTGACGGCGGCGCATGGGCTGTTGGGCAGTTCATGGCCCATAGCTCTCAGGATGGGGACACCTGGATGGGGGACGTTGATGACAAGAGGAGAATGATCTCACTAGCTGTGAAACAACTGCTTCACTTGTCATGCCTTGAGTTCATTGCTTTGTTTTTGTTTCGTTGCTCTCCAACGCAGCTGTTGATTGGTGTATCGTTGATCTCTAACTGCCTGACGGAGGCGGTGCACGAAGTGCATTTGAGTCATAACAGCATCACCGAGCGAGGTGCCCCGACGTGGTTCATTGACAGGTCGTTTTTCAAGTTCATTGCCAATACTTTCGGATTGCTCCAGCTCTCCATGATATGATAAATGTGTGATCAGAAGGCTACTGTGTGTAGATGTTGTATCGTCTTGTAGCTTGCAGTTCTCTGGTTAAAGTGGCAAGTGGGGTCAAGTTTCCAGAATTAGTAGTAACAAGAAGCTACTAGGGGCTCCTGGCATCGCTACAAACAAGGACGCTACTACCACCCGACCCATGGGGCCTTTAGGTTTGGAAATGGGAAAACCGAAGAGCCAGGTGCTTGTGGTCTACTGGAACAGATCGTGACTTGTCTCGCTGTTCGGAACATGTGACCAGCTCAAAGAGATGGGTGGGAATAGCGCGCTTATTTGCATACGTATTTGTAGTTGCACACAAATGCCTTATTTTGTAGCGCCAAACTTGGAATCTAACCCATGTTGGTGGTATTGTCATGCTTTCGCGCTGTGATCAGCAACCGTACCAGTGTTTGTCGGAGCATACAAACAATCAGTCCCACGATGTCCAGCTTACAGTGTCGATACGGGTTCGGGAGAAAAGCAAGAAGTTGTCTTTCGTGCAGCATATAAACATGATGTTTGCTTGTGTTTGTAGTTCTACTACGCCACAAAAATAAAACAGGTTTCGTTCAACCTTGAGTCTCCAGCATAGGCTAGGTTGAACCTAGCAGCCATTTTCCAGAAGAAGACGGAGAGTCCACTGCCTAATTGAACACATCAAAGCACGCGAGGCTTGGAGTCGGAAGTATCCCTATGACGCCACGGCGGGTGGTCGTGATGGTCGTGGATTGTCGCCCATTTGGCTGCGGCTGGAACACAACTGTATTGACTGGCGAGTCATCAATCACCGGTGGCCCAGCGACGAGTTGAAGGGGACTGGTGTGAGAAGGGGCTCAAGCAAAGTAGATAGGCATAGATGCAATCTTTTGCGGAGATAGATAGATAGATAGAATTAGAATGAATTAGATAGATAGATAGGCCAACATGGTAGTGCTCGATGGATTTTCTCCAGAAAGTCGACAAACGGTTTGGCCAAGAGGGACTGCCGGACGTACAGATTTGAGATTGCCCAAAAAAGAAAGGCATCCTCAGCTCTACGATTTCAAAGAGGGACATCCAGAAATCCTACGACGGAAGATTTCAAGAATTGATTTCGAGAATTGAGTTGATTTGATGATTTGGGTACATGACATGCTTCAATACCTTTTCAGAGGGGTTGTTCTGGGATGTGTGAAAGGACACCAACCCATGCCCCAATGTTTCCAGGGCACTTTTCAGCTTCAGCAGAAGC